AAAAATAATAGTCTAGACAGAAGAGAGGGATGTTATAATTGTATGGATGTGTGGATGGGGTAATGAAGTGTGTGGAGGAAGATAGGGGAGTGAGGAATATAGAAACAGAAAAAGAAAGAAAAAGCACGAATAAATTCACTTCCAACGATAGCAGAATAATGTGGGTTTTGGATTTGGTACGTGTGAAGATATTTACATTACAATTCGTAACAGTAGCAAAATTACAGTTATGAAGTAGTAACAAAAATAATTGTATCGTTGGGGCAATTGTATTAAGGGGTTGCGGCATTGGAAAGGTTGGGAACCACTAATCTAGAATTAAGGTAGCTTGACATTATTTAGAAATACCATACAGTGTATGCGGCCGAAGAAAAGGGACAGTTAGAACACAGGGTGCATCTGTATTGCAGAATTGATGCAGCTTGATACTACTTTAATTGCCATGGCCCAGTGCTATGAAATCATAGGAGTTGTAGCTTGTTGAGGAGCTAGAACTCTTGGCTTAGAAGCCTACTACTCCTATGATTCAACAGCATTTAGCCAAGAATTAAAGTAGCATCAAACTGCATTAATTCTACAATGTAGACACATCCTGAGATGGCCTACCAGTCTTTCCAGAGAGATCTTAAGATTCAGGTAGGTTTGGTATTACTTTAAACTTTCACTCCATGCTATAAAATAATGGGAGTTAGTCCTATAATTCCATAAGATTGAGCCAAGAGAGTTCAAACCGTGTTAATTATATCATGTAGCTCAGGCATAGGCAAACTTCAGCCCTCCAGGTGTTTTGGACTTCAACTCCCACAATTCCTGAATTGTGGGAGTTGAAGTCCAAAACACCTGGAGGGCTGAAGTTTGCCCATGCCTACGTGGGGTTGCCTCTGAAGACTGCCCGGAAGCTGCAGCAAGTCCAATGCGCGGCAGCCAGATTACTAACGGGGGCTGGGTACAGGGAGCACACCACTCCGCTGTTATGCCAGCTCCACTGGCTGCCAATTAGCTTCCGAGCACAATTCAAAGTGCTGGTGTTAACCTATAAAGCCCTAAACGACTCCGGCCCTGTTTACCTCTCTGAACGTATTCTCCCTTACGAACCATCAAGATTATTAAGATCGTCTGGAGAGGCCCTGCTCTCGGTCCCACCGGCCTCGCAAGCGTGTCTGGTGGGGACGAGGGACAGGGCCTTCTCGGTGGTGGCCCCACGACTCTGGAACTCTCTCCCACCGGAGGTCAGAACCGCCCCGTCTATCCTGACATTTAGGAAACGGGTGAAGGCGTGGTTGTGGAGACAGGCTTTCGATGAATGAGACAACACCCTAGGTTTTTGGATGGAAGATGATGTATATTGATTTTAATATGACAACTGACCACTGTAGTTTTAAATATATTGTTATTTTAAATGTGTTACGGTAATTGTGAACTATGATATTTTACTGATTGTATGTGCTTTTATGGTTGGAAACCGGGCTGAGTCCCTCAATGAGGTGAGAAGGTCGGTATAGAAAACTTTGAAATAAATAAATAAATAAATAAATACACTCTTGTGTTTAGGTCCCTTTAATGAACTTCTAAATAACCCTCCTGCCTCTTTAAATGACCACAATTCTGGCCTGAAGGGGGCGGAGTTTAGTGTGGGCGGTCCCAGAATTATTGGGGCCAATGGGGATGCGAGGGGGCGGGGCCAAGCAGCCTCACATGGTTCCATCCCTCCTTCCTTCCCTTCCCTGCCTCGTTGGAACTAATGTGTTGGATGATGTTGCATCTACACGTTGTAGAATTAATGCAGTTTGGAACCACTTTAAACTGTCCTGGGAGCTGAAGTTCAGTGAGGTCCCAAAGACATTGTACAAATTGCAACTCCCAAGATTCCATCGCATTGAGACATGACAGTTAAAGCGGTATCGAACTGCGTTAAGTGTATAATGTGGACAAGCTTACCGGCAAGGCTTCCAGGGCGCTGGGCTGCTGCGCTTCCTGCTCCTCTTCCTCTTCGGAGACCTCCTTTCGGTTTCCATGCTGGGCCCATTTGTCCCGAAAGAAGAGGCGGAGGCTGCTGCGCAAAGCGGTCTCGATTCGCCTCCAATCTCCGGCCATGGATGGGAATGGGAGAAGCGCGCTTCTTAAAGGGACAGTGACACCTAAACCGCTCTGCTGCTGCGTCTCTTCGCGCTAGTGGGCAGGGACTGCTTTCGGTTCTTCTCCTCTTCCGCTCCGGTGCTGTTGTGCAGTGGCCACACACGCCCAAGTCCCGCCTTTTCGCGTTAAGTCCAACGGTGAAATGCATTGGAAAGTTAATACAGCTGCACACTGCTTTATTTGCTATGACTCATTCTATGGGATCCTGGGAGTTGTCATTTGGTGAGGCAGAGAAAGCGAGAGACTTTGTGGAACTACAACTCCAGAGCATTCAACTCAAGACAGGGCTATTCAAAGGGTGTCAAAACTGCCTTTGCCCTACAGCAGTGTTTCTCAACCTGGGGGTCTTGAGGGGGTGTCAGAGGGGTCACCAAAGACCATCAGAAAACAGTATTTTCTGTTGATCATGGGGGTTCTGCATGGGAAGTTTGGTGGAGTTCAGGATGCTCTTTGATTGTAGGTGAACTATAAATCCCAGCAACTACAACTCCCAAATGTCACGATCTATTTTCCCCAAACTCCACCAGTGTTCACATTTGGGCATATTGAGTATCTGTGCCAAGTTTGGTCCAGATCCATAATTGTTTGAGTCCACAGTGCTCTCTGGATGTAGGTGAACTATAACACCAAAACTCAAGGTCAATGCCCACCAAACCCTTCTCATGTTTTCTGTTGGTCATGGGAGTTCTGTGTGCCAATTTTGGTTCGGTTCCATCATTGGTGGAGTTCAGAATGCTCATTGATTGTAGGCTAACTATACATACCAGCAACTACAACTCCCAAATGACAAAATCAATCCCCAACCCCACCAGTATTCAAATTTGGGCATATTATTATTATTATTATTATTATTATTATTATTATTTATTAACTTTATTTGTACCCCGCTAGCATCTCCCGTAGGACTCGATGCGGCTCACATAGGCCGAAGCCACAAAACACAATACAATAGAACATAATACAGCAACAATACCAAGCAAATCAAAACAGTAAGCAAAATAAACAACAGCAATAACAATATCAGGACACTTTAAAACTGGGCTGGCCAGAGCAGTGGGTACAGAATTAAAAAGTGCTGAAGTAGCAGGAGGAATGTAGGATTATAAAAATGCGGTGTGCAGCGATCTTAATACAACTAAAGTGCTTCTGGGACTTGGTGATGGGGATTCCTAATCTGAGAAGGCACATTGGAATAGCCAGGTTTTTACATTCTTTCTGAAGACAGCCAATGTAGGGGCCTATCTAAGATCTTTTGGGAGGGCGTTCCAAAGACGGGGGGCCACCACAGAGAAGGCCCTGTCTCGCGTCCCCACCAGCCGCGCTTGCGACGCGGGTGGGATCACGAGCAGGGCCTCTCCAGATGACCGAAGAGAGCGTGTGGGTTCATAGATGGAGATGCGGTCACGCAGGTAGGGTGGTCCCAAACCGTTCAGGGCTTTGTAGGTGAGCACCTGCACCTTAAATTGGGCTCGGAAAATAAATGGCAGCCAGTGGAGCTCCTTAAACAGAGGGGTCGACCTCTCTCTGTAATGAGCCCCAGTTAGCATCCTGGCTGCAGCCCGCTGAACCAGTTGGAGTTTCCGAGCCGTTTTCAAGGGCAGCCCCACGTAGAGCGCATTGCAGTAATCCAATCTGGAGGTGACCAATTGGGTATTTGTGCTAAATTTGGTCATGAATGAAAATACATCCTGCATATCAGATATATCCATTATGATTCATAACAGAAGTAAAAAATAGTTCTGTAGTAGCAATGAAAATAATGTTATGGTTGGGGGTCATCACAACATGAGGAACTGTTTTAATGGGTCACAGCCTTGGACTGCAAGAAGATCCAACCAGACCATCCGACTGCTCATTGGAGGGAAGGATACTAGAGACAAAGTTGAAGTCCTTTGGTCACATCATGAGGAGACAGCAAAGCCTAGAGAAGACAATTATGCTGGGGAAAGTGGAAGGCAAAAGGAAGAGGGGCCGACCAAGGGCAAGATGGATGGATGGAATCCTTGAAGTGACTGTACTGACCTTGAAGGAGCTGGGGGTGGTGACGGCAGACAGGGAGCTATGGCGTGGGCTGGTCCATGAGGTCACGAAGAGTCGGAGACGACTGAACGAATGAACAACAACAAGCATTAGGAAGGTTGAGAAACACTGCCCTACAGTGTGGATGCCTTAGAATCAGGAAAGGACAGAGAGAGGTGACTTAAATGGTCATAAGGTTTGGACGCCACGCCCAATGAATACAGTGGGGGGGGGGGAGAGAAGTATTTAGTCAGATACCAATTGTACAAGTTCTCCCACTTATAAAGATGAGAGAGGCCTGTAATTGACATCATAGGTAGACCTCAACGATGAGAGACAACATGAGAAAACATATCTAGAAAATCAGTCTGATTTTAACTAATTTATTTGCAAATTATGGTGGAAATAAGTATTTGGACCATAATAAAAGTTCATCTCAACACTTTGTTATATATATCCTTTATTGGCAATGACAGATGTCAAACATTTTCTGTAAGTCCTCACAAGGTTGGCACACGCTGTTGCTGGTATGTTGGCCCATTCCTCCATGCAGATCTCCTCAAGAGCAGTGATGTTTTGGGGCTGTCGCTGGGCAACATGGACTTTCAACTCCATAGGGTTCAGATCTGGAGACTGGCTAGGCCACTCCAGGACCTTGAAATGCTTCTCTCAAAGCCACTCCTTTGTTGCCCTGGTGGTGTGCTTGGGATCATTGTCATGCTGAAAGTCCCAGCCATGTTTTATCTTCAGTGCCCTTGCTGATGGAAGGAGGTTTGCACTCAAAATCTCACAATACGTTGCCCCATTCATTCTTTCATGTATACAGATCAGTTGCTCTGATCCCTTTGCAGAGAAACAGCCCCAACTCATTTATTTCTAATTTACAGTATTTCTATACCGCTTTTACACATAACTGGCAAAACTTCAATGCCATACATTGGACACTGACGCAATGCCAATCCATAACAACCACAATAATAAAACGACAATTAAGCATAAATCATAATTAGAACGGTAGGTATGGTGTTCTTTGGATGCACCTCGGCATTCTTTCTCCTCCAGACATGACGAGTCGTGTTTCTGCCAAACAGTTCTACTTTGGTTTCATCTGACCATATGACATTCTCCCAATACTCTTCTGGATCATCCAAATGCTCTCTAGCAAACTTCAGTTGGCCCCGGACATGTACTGGCTTAAGCAGGGGGACACGTCTGGAATGGCAGGATCTGAGTCCCTGGTAGGGTAGTGTTACTGATGGTAGCCTTTGTTACGTTGGTCCCAGATTTCTGCAGCAGGTCATTCACTAGGTTCCCCCATGGGGTTCTGGGATTTTTGCTCACCGTTCTTGTGATCATTTTGACCCCACAGGAAGACATCTTGCGTGGAGCCTCAGATTGAGGGAGATTATCAGTGGTCTTGTATCTCTTCCATTTTTTAGTTATTGCTCCCACAGCTGATTTTTTTGCACCAAGCTGCTTGCCTATTGCAGAATCAGTCTTCCCAGTCCGGTGCAAGGTGACAATTTTGTTTCTGGTATCATTCGACAGCTCTTTGGCCTTCACCATAGTGGAGTTTGGAGTGTGACTGCTTGAAGGTTGTGGACAGGTGTCTTTTATACTGGCAGCAAGTTCAAATAGGTGCCATTACTACAGGTAATGAGTGGAGGACAGAGGAGCCTGTCTGTGAGACCCAGAAATCTTGCTTGTTTGTAGGTGACCAAAATACAGGGTGAGGCAGCATAACTTCCTTTTTTCAAAACTTAATAAAACCCATTGTATTAATCAGATTTTTTTAATAATGTAGGCGCATACCTAAAGTTTTGTTTTACGTAGTTTTGAAGATCAAATTAGATAGGTGACGTCCCCCATTCTCCATACGTTGAGTAAACCAATTTCTGGCATTTGTCATGACTCTGGCCAGCATAGCAGGCGTTATGTTGGCAATTTCTTCCTGGATGTTGGTTTTCAAATCTTGTAGGGTCCTTGGACGGTTCACACAAACACGGGATTTCAAAAAACCCCATAGAAAAAAATCACAAGGGGCCAGATCTGGAGAGCGGGCCGGCCACTCCAAATCCGCTCGAAAAGTAGGCCTCAACAGCAAAAGCAACCGACTGAATAGCAAGCATTTAAAAAAAGGAAGTTATGCTGCCTCACCTTGTACTTATTTTCCACCATAATTTGCAAATAAATTAGTTAAAAATCAGACGTGATTTTCTAGATGTGTTTTCTCATGTTGTCTCTCATAGTTGAGATCTACCTATGATGTCAATTACAGGCCTCTCATCTTTTTAAGCGGGGGGACTTGTACAATTGGTATCTAACTAAATACTCCCCCCCGCCCCGCCCCGTAGGTCCTATGTTTAGCCTGGAAAAGAGGTCATTACAAGGACAGTCAAATCATCCTGGATAATATACCATGATTGTAAGGGGTTTTCTTAAGGCAAGGCATACTCAGGGGATGGTTTTGCCTGCTCTTTCCTCTCTAATGCCTAAATGTGTGAGGTGGAAGAAATGCATCGTAAGAGGGAAATGGAATATGTCCTGGCTGGCATCTTCAGTATGGACATCCTATCCTTTGTCTTCTACAATAATGATAAATTTTGACCATTGTGGGAATGGTCCCAGGTTTTGCAGTAACCTTTTCTGTCTTGCCAATGCATACACAGCCTGACTCGTCGTCCATGCATTGTTTTTATTTCTGCATCCATGATTCCCAACAATAAAACAAAAATATTATTCCTGTATAGTCCAAGGCTGTCTGGGCATGCTGTCGATTAATTCATTGTCTAAATAACTTCATTGTATTATCCCAGTTTATAATAGTGGTCCCTCCTCTCTTGTGCTTTTAGTTTTGCAAAATATAATACAGACATGCAAACATTTCTATATGAATTTTTCTCTTTCAGCCCCTCCAGGTAGCTTTAGACATGAATTCCCACAATTCCTCACCATGGTTGGGGCTGATGGGAACTGTAAGCAAAAAGCATCTGGAAGTCCTATTGATTCTTTCCTACCCTCCCCCAAATGTATTACTGTTTCAGGTTTTGGAATGTAGAATCTACGTTGGAGACAGCTAAGTTGGTAAGTTCTGGAAATAGTTCAGTATACGCTTTGCGTTTTTGGTGTCCCAGTCATGCAGTCTCAAAGGTCCTTCACAGACAGCGATGTATTTCTGCAACATTTTTGCTCCTGTCTCTCGGAAGTCCAGAGCCATATTGGGTGCTCTGCTTTCTGATCTGGGATCCGTGCTTTGAACTGGTTCCTTTCCTTCTCCACAGTACTTCAATCCCCAGTAACACATTTCTCCACAGTACATCATAGCCAGCAGATGGGTATCACTATATATGCCTGCCAAAGAGGAGAGAATAACCAAGTTAATTGGACAAAATCATAGAGAGGCAGGGATTTTTTATTATTATTTTTTTGCCCTGGGAACTTTACAATTAACCACCTTCCCCAGTCAAATGGTGCTTCCTGATGCTTTTTCTCTCTAGGAGAAAGTCCCAACCATTGGTTCTCCAGGTGTTTTGGACTTCAGCTCCCAGAAACCCCAGCCACTTGACCAACATCCAGGAATTTTGGGAACTGAAGTCCAAAACATGGATTACCATGTTTATACTCCACTCTTCTCACTCCAAAGGGGACTCGGAGCGGCTTATGGATTGTGGCAAAAATGCAATGTTGCATCATACACACAACAATAATTATAACATACACACAACTATATTTCATTCTCCCTGGTCCAGAATGAGCCTCAAAGCTTTCAATTTTTGTAGATGAGACCCCCCATTACCAAAATCTCTGTGAAACACAAAGGTTTTATTCACATGTTTTTTATTTACATGTTGGCTTGTCATTTATTGCCAATTTCCATGCTTCCTTATACCACTCTTCTATTTGTATATTTCCCTTTTCCAATTCCTTGCTATAAGCAGTCTTGCTATTGTGATTAAGTTTGTTATCACATCTTTGTCCTCTTTTTCAGTTGTTTATTATTATATTATATAATGATAATAAAGCTATACCAGGACTTCTTTCTATTTTATAATTCATTATATCCTCTACCTCTCTAAATACTTTCCGCCCAAAATTATTTACATATGTACACTGCCACTACATATATATGTATATATGTTCCCAATTCTTGGCATCCTCTCCAGCAAATCTGTGAACAGTTTTTATTTATTTATTTAAATCGTTTATATTCCGCCCTTCTCACCCCAAAGGGGACTCAGGGCGGAGCACAGCAAATATATGGCAAACATTCAATGCTGAGACACAAATTCTTATATACATACATAAACATTAAAAACATTTATCAAAATATTCAAATACACCATTTAAAACTGTCCTAGTCATCCACGTCAAATCTAATTGGACTGGTAATCTTCCTACTTCTGCTTTATTGATCTGTCCCAAAAGCTTGGTCCCACAGCCAAGTTTTTACCATCCTTCTAAAGGACAGGAGGGAGGGGGCCAACCTGATCTCACCAGGAAGGGAGTTCCATAGCCGGGGAGCAATCACCGAGAAGGCCCTATCTCTCATCCCCACCAATTGTGCCTGTGACAATGGCAGGACACATTTATAGATATTTGTTATTCTTATTGGCGTTAGATACCATTTCCGTATTAACATAGAGTAATTTTCTTTAACCCGTGTTGATCAATTTTTCAAATGTCTTTGTCCCCATCTTCAAGTCATTTCCATCTTACAGTAGCCAAAAGGTGGCTCTATCACAAGAGCTTTATTTGTGATAGATTTTGCTATTGCTTTCCTCTGAGGCTGAGAGAATGTGACCTGCCCAAGGTCTTCCAATAAGTTTCCAGAGCCTAGTGTGGATTCAAACCCTAATCTTCCAGAGTCCTACACTGAAACCTTTGTAACATACTGACTACAGCCTACAAGGTGGGGGAGAATGGATCCCATCTCTAGCACAGTAGCCCATCACTGTTTTGCAGTTAGAGTGACTCGCTCAGTTGCCAGTGACCACAAGTGAGAGACATCTATGTGTATCTGTACTGAAAAATGTGTGTTTAAAATTATTTTAAGATGCTTGGGGAACACACCTTAGGTGAAAAACAGCATATACATTAAATGTTCTTAATTGAAACAGTGAAATCTTTGGGCACAATTCAAGCACAAAACCAGCTATGGTGCTCCATGTTGAATGTGCAAGCCCTCTTTTAAAGCCCCAGTTGGCCAAGAAAGTGTTTCTTTGGAAATGAATCTCTGCATTCATACCATCATAGATGTAAGTAGAATTTTAAGCTCAGAAATATGTGGAGAAAGAATTTGAAATGCCAAAGATGGGGGAAGGGAGGAAAGGAAAATAATGCAGGCCTCAAAATCATACAAAGGCACCACCTTAACAGAAACTATTGAGCATGGATTTACATTGTGGTACAATTATCATTTTTTGCTGTAAAAACTCGATCTGCCTTTCTCTTTGGTTTGTTCAGTTGCAAAATGAACATATCTAATGGTAGCACATAACCATTATTCTTTTCTGTTCCAGTTTCTTAGTGCAATTGAGAAAGCATATTTCTGTTTGTGATCTTTTAAAATAAGTTGCAAAACTTGAGATGAGATTTAGCACCATACAGAACATATACAATCTCAAATTGCTTTGGTTTGAGCAGTACACTATGACTCTGGAGACCAGGGACTGAAACCATGGAAACCCAACTGGKTKMCMTGGTTTTACAAGTCACAYTCTCTCAGCCCCATAGGAAGGCAAAGGCAAATTCCCCTTGCACAAATCTTGCTGAGAAAACTCATAGAGCTGCCAGTTTGAAAACTACTTGGAGGCGCAAAACAAAGACATGTACCTTCATGGATCAATCTTGCTGTGTCTGCATCCCCAAATGAGACCTCTTCATCTGTGTTATCAGAACATCTAAATCCAAGCATCGTCACCAAATAATGGATTCCTTCACTAAGAAACTGAAAGAAGAAAACAAAATTACAGCCTCTAGATCAGCAGTTCTTGCCCCTTTCTTTACCAGGGACCCTCTTTAAATAATTATAATTATTATTATTTCTTGCCCGCCTCTCCTCACAGCTCAAGGTGGTTTACAACATTGTGAAATACATCTTCACCGAAAATCATTCTTTAAAATAAACATATTAAAATACACAAACCAGAGATTAAACATAAGATGCAAGTTTAAAATTCATCATTTTGTTGCTGCAGACCACCAAGACATAAGATTTAAACTCCTATTGATCAAGTATTTATTCAAAGTTGTTCCTTAAGAGTCTTCAAATTTAGAGAGAAATGGGAAATAAATGCACACGACCCTGTTATATTTTAACAGTTATTTCAAACAAACTCACAATAATAGTATTATTTATTTATTTATTTATGGCATTTATGTGCCATCCTTCTCAACCCGAAGGGGACTCAGAGTGGCTTACAAGTTATATGTAAATACAATATATTATATATTATATTATTAGCATAGCACAATATTAGTATCATGCATTCCCATATTGTACTATACCACTATACTATATTATTAGTAATATTACATGTAATATGAAATATATAATTATTGTATTATTAGTATTATTAGTATTATATTCCTATTGCAACTGTAAAAGTGTATTTATCCCATGTACTATCTCCATTACTGCAGATGGCACTTTTATTCTTGGCCATGGTTACAGTAATTTACCACCACGGTGAGAGGATCGCAGCTTGAGTGAGCCTGAATTGATATTTTTATATGTACATGTTTTATTTTATTGTATTTTCTATTGTGTTCACTTTTATGTTTGTTTTTAGGCACTTTGTGCCGTCTGTAAGTTGCCCCGATTCCCTTTGGGGAGATGGTGGTAGGATATAAGAATAAAGTTGTTGTTGTTAGATTTTTTTAAGACTTCACAGATCTCTTATGAGTACATTGTCACCTGCTGGGGGATCCACAGATTAGGAACCACTGATCCAGACCAATATTACAGGACAAACGATTTTTGTCAACTATTTTATGCTTAGAAACATGCATGAAAAAATGGTATCTTTCTACATATGAAAGAAACCAAGCTCAATAAAACTGATGAGGTGGTTGTCCCTTATTTACTTGATCAGACATTAAAGGTCTTTGTTCACCTTATTTCTGACAATGGTGTTAAGCAAGAAGGATACCTCAAAGATGCAAACAACTGATATCTTTAGAGCATTTCTTTTGAGCTCCACAGGAATTATTATTACAAATTCAAGACAATAAAAAATTCAATTACACATTTTTACCTGGCCTTGGAGTACTTCCCACTGAACTCAATATAACGTACTTCTGAGTAGATAGACATGTTGACAATTATACCTTACAAGCAAGTTACTTTTCTGGAATTAACTCCAGGGTACCCTCACAGGAGTAACCAATTTTATCATGGCTATTAAAAAAACAGAAGAAGATGTACTCAAATTGGAATATGAACACGGAATAGCTAAGATGATGTAAATTGATGAGGAATTGAACTGGAAGACATTGTTTATATAGATTCTAACAGTTTTTATTGCTTCTATGTTTTTATATGTATTTATGATGTGATTTAATTGCTTTTAACTGATATATGTATGTATGTACATGGCATCGAATAGTTGCTGGTCTGTACGCCGCCCTGAGTTGCATTTGGGCTGAAATGACGTAAATAAATAAATACCTTTTTAAGCAGCTCAGTCTTCTCCGTCAACCATTCTTTCCTGCTTTTAACAGTATGGCAAAACATGTAGAGTAAAGCCCCTCTCCTCCAGTAAAGACATTCCAGCAGTTCTGTACCAAGCACCGAAAGTGGCTAAAAATGAGGGAACAGGGAGAGAAAGACACCTTTATCAATCACATTACTTTATGATAAAGAGTGATAGAATGCAGTATAGTTGTAACCTGCTGGTTGAGCAAGTTTTAAAAAACAAATATTAAGAAAACAAAAGCCCCTTTGTGGTGTTTGTGGGTTGGACTGAAAATCTGAGAGTTCAATTCTCTGCTTGGTCATGGAAATCCACTGGCTGACCTTGGACAAGTTATAATTTCAACCTCAGAGGCAGGCAAAGGCAAGCTTTTTAAAACTAATCTTGCTATGAAAACCTGATTATAGATTCAGAGTTCCCATAAGTTGGGAATGACTTGAAGACGCATAAAAGCAACACGGAAAAACAACAGGATAATGCTGTAAAGATGAAAGGGCCTCATTGTTTTGGGACCGTGTGGATTTTTAAAAATTAGAACTTGTAGTTCAGGCTTAGTACTCACTTCCTGAGATGTGCTGTTTTCTTTGACCAAGATTTCTGGTTCTGAAAGTACATTAATTAATTCTTCAACTTTGTGCAAAGAAGACTCCTCTGGAAATTCTTCATCTACAAGCTGATTTTCCTCAAAGTATGTGATATCCAATGCAGCCTTTAGAAAGGAGGAAAAAATATGAGTTCTGTGACAGTTTTCCATGGGTGACAGACAATCTTTATCAAGATAAGCTCTCAGAGATCCTGAGAAAACACAGTGTTTAGGCTGATATTTAGTGCATCATTTTCTACAACTCCCCCATCATTTTGTTGCACAATTTCCAACCAAAGACTCCTAAACTAAAAGTTTAAAAGGATATCATGCAAAAGTTGAGTTTATCAAGTCCAGCAGCAGGCTGAAGTCAATTTGGATGTCGGTTTACTGCGCAACATGCTGGAATTCATTTTCCAAGATCAGGACTGCATCTTTAACTATATCAGGACTGGAGAACATGTGGCCCACCTTATGTTGCCAGACTGCATGTCCCAGAAGTCATACACAGGCAATAGTGCGAGATTATGGGAGTTGCCCTCCAGCATCTGGAGGACCATGTATTCACAATATAGCTTGACAACTTTTACATTCAACACCGCAATCATTTTCTGTAATCCCAGTTATATGTTTGGTTCCCATTACTTCTGCTCAAGTCTCAATTTAAAAATAAGTTTTGTAAATATTGCTATAATATGCCTGATGTTCCTGTATTAACCTGTTGTACTTGCATCATCAAATGGAAGGATCTTTTGCAGCAGCTTGGGACATTTGGTCCTCCAAATAAATTACTAATCCCATCATGCCTCAATATTTTCCCCTTTACGCTGATCATTTAATGGCTAGACAATCAATGTTCACAAAAGCATGGTAAAGAAAGCCCTTCAATGCACATCAGTACTCTGTGTAATCACCATCTGGCCCACAAACTGGTTCCAGGATTTTCTACTTAGTCATCTGCACAGCAAAACCACTTTCTTCAATATCAATTGGAAGTGATCAGTGTAGATGTTCCCATTGTCCAGAGAGGCTAGGATTGATGGGCATTTGAATTCAACAACAGCTAGCAGGTTCCCACAATACAAATCCTTCTCTTCCAAAAGAGATCGTAACACAGTGAAGGTGCCCGGTTTTCTTTTTAGTGCTTCAAGCAGGTTTTGCAGTTGGAATTCAATTCGTGGTATACTTTCCTTTACACCACCCTCACAAGCCCAATAGGGCTACTGACTTCGTGCAGAGTTCTGGAGTGCTGGTGAGCTGTTGCCCCTAAAACGCATGCGCCTTTCTGGTATTTTGAGTTGTAGCCCTCATTAGCCCTAGCTCATATGGCCAATGGTGAAAGTCTCAAATTCTAGCTTAAAAATATCATAGGTTCAAAATAAATCCATTCATAGTTTGGTCTCTGTACAATTGATAAGCAGAAACTTAACATTTCATTCCCAGTATATTAAGGCTGATGCAGATATGACAGAGTTGATGTCGTAATTTTGGTCAACTGCAAAGCATTCTTTTCATACTAGTTTATTTTTCAATTAAAAATATCCTTATTCTCCAATACAATGCATTCTTAGGGTGTCTTCAAACATACTTCAGTGAAACATGTTTCCAAACACTTCATCACACTAGAGAAAAAAATCCACTTAAAATCCGGTTTCTGCCTCCTGCAGAATTTTGGGATTTGTAGTTTAGTGAGGTTGTTAAAGGATCCTCCCTAAACTACAAACCCCAGAATTCTGCAGGAGGCAGAAACCGGATTTTAAGTGGATTTTTTCTCTAGTGTGATGAGCCAGCCCACGTGTTTGAATCTAAAATACTGATGATTCTTAAAACCCAATTATTCATTAAACACAATACCTGTGTATAAAGTTGCAAAAACTTGGGAAGTGTGAAGTTTTCTCTGTGTTCTTCAGACAGGGCTGTTAAGCGTTCCAGTGTAGCAGAAGCCTGCATTAAGAAGGAATCTGTTGGTGGTGGGAGACAAAAATGATGCTGAAAGAGAACAAAACTAACTGCAGAATTCATAGATAACAATATTCTCTCAACAAATTATAGGTATTACAGAGCAACCTTTGAAATTGCATTGAATTGTGCTCACTGCAGATTATTTTCTTGTTGAAGTGATATAGGAAGAAAGTTAAAAATGACACTTCCACGACCAAATAAGAACATACAAGAGTATTTATGATTCTCTAATTGAGAAATCCAGCCTTTTCAGGAAGTGCTGGGGATAATATTGGACGAAATCAGTCTGTGGACCACCAGTGGTCCGCAAGAGCTAAAATATGGTCCACAGCCTGATCTGAACTGGGTTATCTGAGTGCACACTACCATATAATCCAGTTCTATGTGGATTTTATACAGCTGTGTGAAAGGGACCATTTACACAACCAAAAGACCCTTAAGCAAACAAATTCAGGTTTCATATTAGGGGCAGGTTTCAAACCATTGACCCAACAACAATCTAGACTTAATCATTTTATTTCTTAAAATATTTCTCATCTGTATCATGAGATATCAGGGTGGTCCACATTTAAAACCATATAGACAATTTAAGACTGTTACACTTAAATACAATTACATGATTAGGATTGGAGACTCGGTATCTTCAATTATCTATATAAATAAAAATGTAATGTTCGTTTGTGGGATTAGCATAACTCAAAAACCACTGGACGAATGGAAACCAAATTTGGACACAGTGCACCTATCAGGCCAATGAGTGACCATCACTCATATAAACACTGGGAAACACAGCAGAAGAGACTTAAAAAGCCAAAACACAAAAATAAACATGCACAAAACCAGATATATACACAAACACACATATATACACATATACACACACATATATTCATATATACATACACAAAACACATATACACAAACTAGGCCACAGCAACGCATGGCAGGGGACGGCTAGTTATCTATATAAATAAAAATGTAATGTTTGTTTGTGGGATTAGCGTAACTCAAACACCACTGGACAAATTGACACCAAATTTGGACACAATACACCTATGAGGCCAACGAGTGACCATCACTCATAAAAACACTGGAAAAAGCAGCAGAAGAGACTTAAAAAGCCAAAAAAATTACATTACAACGCATGTGCAAAACCATACACACAATGCACATATACGCAAATATATACACACATACACACACACAACACAGCCTGGGCCACAGCAACACATGGCAGAGAACGGCTGGTATGTATGTATGTGTATATGTGTGTGTATACATACATACATATACATATACATATACATATATATATATATATATCGGTAAAGGTAGTCCCCTGACATTAAGTCCAGTCATGTCTGACTCTGGGGTGTGGTGCTCATCTCCATTTCTAAGCCGAAGAACCAGCGTTGTCCGTAGACACCTCCAAGGTCATGTGGCCGGCATGACTACATGGAGCGACGTTACCTTCCCACCGGAGCGGTACCTATTGATCTACTCACATTTGCATGTTTTCGAACTGCTAGGTTGGCGGAAGCTAGGGCTGACAGCGGTAGCTCACGCCGCTCGCCGGAATCGAACCTGCGACCTTTCAATCAACAAGCTCAGCAGCTCAGTGCTTTAACCCACTGCGCCACCGGGGGCTCTATATATGTATCACATAGGTAATGTGCAACATGTTATGGCCCTGTGTGTGTGTGTGTATGTGTGTGTATGTATATATAAAACACACACACATATATATATGTAACGTGTGACATGTTATGGCTCTTGAAACACAAGCAGGATCCACACTGGGTGGGACCTTGTGGTAGAGGGCATCTACATTGCATAATTACTCCAGTTTCGCACCACTTGAGTTGCCATGGCTTAGTGCTGTGGAATGCTGGGAGGTGTAATTTGGCACTATTTGGCAGAATAAAGCAAAAGACCTTGTAAAACTACAACTCCCAGGATTCCCATAGCATTGAGGCACTATAAAGTGGGGTCAAACTGCATAAATTCCACAGGCATGGGCCATCTTCGGCCCTCCCTCCAGGTGTTTTGGACTTCAACTCCCACAATTCCTAACAGCCTACCGGCTGTTAGGAATTGTGGGAGTTGAAGTCCAAAACACCTGGAGGGAGGGCCGAAGATGGCCCATGCCTGGTGTAGATACACTTCCTAGTCTTCTGTCCTCCAGGTGTCTTTGGGACTTCAACTCCCAGAAGCCCCTTCTAGCTTGGGCAATTGAGAGGAATTCTGGGAGTTGAAGTCCAAAATACCTGGTTGGGGAAAGACTGACTACCACTGCTCCAAATGAAGGAGGAGTTGGGAGGAACTAAAGCTCAGGCAGCAATGGAGCTTACCATCCGTGCGCCCTCCTCTGCTCCAGCGCTGTAGCCTTGCTTTCAGCCCCGAGAGGCGCTCCTGCAAAGCGACCGAGAAGCCCACTTCTGCCATAAGGAGAGCCTCACGTGACCCAAGCCGGGGCTCTCCTCTCACGTGACCACACGCTCCTCCTTAGCCACGCCCCTAACGCCACCTAGTGTTCTGCAAGGGCAGGGTTTCTCCGAATGACGTCAAAGCTGGGACAAAGAGATAAGAATCTTTTAGAATGACGCGCTCACTTAGATTTCCGGGTCGTGTTTGCCAAAGTGGATGCTGTACAAAAGCAAAGCTACATCTAACTAGCCTGAATGCAGCTTAGTGCTATGGAGTTGTAGTTTTACGAGGTCTTTAGTCTTCTCTGCCAAAGACTTCCAAACTACAAATCCCAGGATTCTACAGCTATTGAGCTATGGCCCCTCAATAGATACAATAATATTGTAATGTAATAATGTTAAAGGTAAAGGTAGTCCCCTGACATTAAGTCCAGGCATGTCTGACTCTGGGGTGTGGTGCTCATCTCCATTTCTAAGCCGAAGAGCCAGCGTTGTCCGTAGACACCTCCAAGGTCATGTGGCCGGCATGACTGCATGGAGCGCCGTTACCTTCCCGCCGTAGCAGTACCTATTGATCTACTCACATTTGCATGTTTTCGAACTGCTAGGTTGGCAGAAGCTAGGGCTGACAGCGGAAGCTCACGCCGCTCCCCGGAATCGAACCTGGAACCTTTCGATCAACAAGCTCAGCAGCTCAGTGTTTTAACCCATGGGCAACCGGGGGTTCCTGTATAGTAATAATCATAGAATCATAGAATCAAAGAGTTGGAAGAGACCTCATGGGCCATCCAGTCCAACCCCCTGCCAAGAAGCAGGAATATTGCATTAAAATCACCCCTGACAGATGGCCATCCAGCCTCTGCTTAAAAGCTTCCAAAGAAGGAGCCTCCACCACACTCCGGGCAGAGAGTTCCACTGCTGAACGGCTCTCACAGTCAGGAAGTTCTTCCTCATGTTCAGATGGAATCTCCTCTCTTGTAGTTTGACGCCATTGTTCCGCATCCTAGTCTCCAAGGAAGCAGAAAACAAGCTTGCTCCCTCCTCCCTGTGGCTTCCTCTCACATATTTATACATGGCGTATCATATCTCCTCTCAGCCTTCTCTTCTTCAGGCTAAACATGCCCAGCTCCTTAAGCCGCTCCTCATAGGGCTTGTTCTCCAGACCTTTTATCATTTTAGTCGCCTCCTCTGGACACATTCCAGCTTGTCAATATCTCTCTCGAATTGTGGTGCCCAGAATTGGACACAATATTCCAGGTGTGGTCTAACCAAAGCAGAATAGAGGGGTAGCATTACTTCCCTAGATCTAGACACTATGCTCCTATTGATGCAGGCCAAAATCCCATTGGCTTTTTTTGCCGCCACATCACATTGTTGGCTCATGTTTAACTTGTTGTCCACGAGGACTCCAAGATCTTTTCACACGTACTGCTCTCGAGCCAGGCATCCCCCATTCTGTATCTTTGCATTTCGTTTTTCCTGCCAAAGTGGAGTATCTTGCATTTGTCACTGTTGAACTTCATTTTGTTAGTTTTTGGCCCATCTCTCTAATCTGTCAAGATCGTTTTGAATCCTGCTCCTGTCCTCTGGAGTATTGGCTATCCCTCCCAATTTGGTGTCGTCTGCAAACTTGATGATCATGCCTTCTAGCCCTTCATCTAAGTCATTAATAAAGTTATATGTTACTATGTTATATATTTAACCTCAGCAGACTGAAAACTAAACCAAGGTTACAACATCTGTTATAGAACTCCAGTATGCTGATGACTATGCACATTCAGAAGAAGACCTACAAGCCATTCTAAATACTTTCGCAGAAGCATACGAGAAGCTCAGCCTGTCATTGAACATCGAGAAAACCAAAGTTCTCTTCCAGCAGTCACCAGCCAATCACTCTCCAATGCCAGAAATACAGCTTAATGGTGTAACATTAGAAAATGTTGATCATTTTTGCTACCTTGGCAGCCATCTCTCCACCAAAGTCAACATTCACACTGAAATACAACACCGCCTGAGCTCTGCGAGTGCAGCTTTTTTCCGAATGAAGCAGAGAGTTTTTGAGGACATCCATAGGGATACCAAGGTGCTTGTTTATAAAGCTGTTGTCCTCCCAACCTTGCTATATGCCTATGAAACATGGACTGTCCACAGATGTCACATGCAACTCCTGGAACGATTCCATCAGTGCTGCCTCCGGAAAATCCTGCAAATATCTTGGGAAGACAAGCAGACAAATGTCAACATCCTGGAAAAAGGAAAGACCACCAGCATTGAAGCGAGGGTCCTCCGCCATCATCTCCGCTAGACCACAACGTTGTTCGGATGCCCGACCACCGTCTCCCACAGCAGTTACTATACTCCCAACTCAAGAACGCGAAACAGAATGTTGGAGGATAGGAAAAGAGATTTAAAGATGGGCTCAAAGCCAACTTAAAAACTTTGCCATAGACACCGAGAACTGGGAAGCCCTGGTCCTTGAGCACTCCAGTCGGAGGTCAGCTGTGACCAGCAGTGCTGTAGAATTTGAAGAGGCAGGAATGGAGGGCGAAAGAGAGAAATGTGTCAAGAGGAAGGTGCATCAAGCCAACCCCAACCGGGACCGCCTTCCACCTGGAAACCAATGCCCTCACTGCAGAAGAAGATACAGATCAAGAATAGGGCTCCACAGTCACCTACGGACCCATCGCAAGTACACTGATCTTGGTAGACTGAATTGTTAGGTTGGCAGAAGCTGGGGCTAACAGCTGGAACTCACCCCACTCCCCGGATTTGAGCCTGCAACCTTTCAATCAGCAAGTTCAGTGGTTTAACCCACTGCACCACCGGGGACTCCATATATAATGATATACTGTTTCATTATTGTATATTTGTATAGTTTAAGTTGTAATGTTTTTGATTGTGAGCCGCTTTGAGTCTCCATATGGAGAAATAACGTGCAATATAAATATAAACAAACAAACAAACAAACAAGTGGTGTCAAACTGGATTAATTTTACAGTGTGGATGCATTTGAGGCAGCAGAAATATCATTTGGACATGTTAACAAAATATCCAAATGGACTTCAATAAGTAACACAACTTCACAAGTTATTTGTCCTGCTTGAAACTAAAATCCTTCATCTTTTGGGGAGTGACTGTGATCTTTCACCTGCTGTCCCCCTTTTTCTTCCTTATTCTGAAAACAGTTCTGATCTCCATCACTCCGCAAATTATCTTATATTTGATGTAGTGCATTTGCACAATGCTGCATTAAATGAGTAAAAATACTCAAAAGTACCGTATATTCCGGCATATAAGACGACTGGGCGTATAAGACGACCCCCAACTTTTCCAGTTAAAATATAGAGTTAAGATGACTCCCATGCATAAGACTACACCTGCATATAAGACGACCCCTGACTTTTGAGAAGATTTTCTTGGGTTAAAAAGTAGTCTTATACGCCAGAATATACTGTACTCCAGATATCATTTAAAGAATCAAGCCAATCCTGTTCTTCAGAGTTTCGACACACATGAAAGGACTTGTTTGGCTTGTCAAGCCCCAAAATAAATCTGCTTATAACAGCACTGCAGTCTTAATTTAAATATCTTTGTTTCACCGTGTTTGCATAGTAATCTTTCTTTCCAAACATAAACTCTTCCAGACTATAGAAATGTAATTATGAGATAACACTATGTAACATTTTTTTTAAAAAAAAAATCTGTTCCTGGTTTGAAAGTGTTATTTCCTGTGCGATACTTACTTTGAAAGTAGCTATTATCCTCCGGAAACTTCATTTTTGTGGTTGCCACAAATTATATTGACTAGGTTGAGACTTTATGAAATATTTGTTGAAAAACTATAGCAAAATGTGCTGTGGGATGTCTTGCAAAAACTTTGTTTAATCAACTTTTTTTTCCATATTTTTGTGATAGTAGCAATTAGGAAATGACATTTATAATCCAGTAACAAAAATCATGTTACATAGTGTAGTTGAGGGCCAACTGTAATTATTAGTAATTCAAGAAGTGAAGGGGGAACTCGGCACGCTCTCAGAATTTCCTTTCACTTCTGCCCTCAAGGGGGCGGCGCAGGGATGGACACATGGACAAGTTGAGTCTTGTGCAGAAGGCTTTATTTGCTGGCCAAGCAAATGGCAGATAGTGGCTTGAAGCATAAAGTACTGTCGCGCCCCAAAGATGGAGCTGAGGTCTTTTATCATTTACACCACACAATTTTGATTGGTGTTTACAGTTTGTCTCTTTCATTGGTTTATTATTTACTTAAGGACCAGGCTGTGGCACAGCTAGTTAGTAGTCAGCCGCATTAAATCACTACTGACAGAGAGGCAGTGAGTTAAAAGCCAGCCCGGGTTGGAGTAAGCTCCTGACCATTAATAGTCTAGCTTGCTGTTGATCTATGCAGCCGGAAAGACAGTTGCATTTGTCAAATAAATAAGGTATTATTGGCTTACTATTTTATATGCACAACCAGCTTAAGATGGAAACTTTAATGGAACTTTGGTCATAAATGGAGACCAAGTGGAGTGGTGGCCAGTTTTAAGTTCCTGGGTGTCACTGTGAAGGAGGATCTGACCTGGGGCACCCAAACAGCAGTGTTTGTTAAGAGGGCTAAGCAGAGACTGTACTATTTGGGACTTCTAAGGAACCACCAACCAAATGAAAAACTGCAGTGCTATAGTTAGTGCCCTAACCTACTATATCGACACATACAGAGTGGCAGATAGAAAGGCGCACCATTTCTGCACAGAGAATCATTGGCTGTCATCTCCCCTCTTTGGAAGAACTTTATAATTCCCACTGCCTTAAGAAAGCTCAGAGCATTCTTGGGGATCCATCTCACCTGGCATATTATTTTTTCCTTTTTTCTTTTTGAATTATTGCCATCTGGTAGATGGTACAGGGTGACAAAGACAAGGACAAACAGACGGAAGGATATTTTTATGTCTATGTTGAACTCTGGGGTTTTGCATTGATGTGATATTGGGGGCTGTGTGGTGGTGGTTGGGGTGTGGAGGGGTAGGTGTGTTGTTTTGTGGTGTGTGCAGGGGAAGGCATGTAATTTCGTTGTGCAATAGCACAATGACAAAG